TTATCTGTCTCTATCTGTTTGGCACAATGTTATTGCTCAACAATATTGGAAACTGTTTGGGCTAAAGTAAAGCTGTGTGGATGATATGGCTGAAAATACATTCATTGGCTACACTTCATGTTTTGTCTAATTATATTTTTGAAGGAAGGAAAAAAAAAGAAGGAAATGAAGTGAAAAGAAAAAAATTGTTAGTTTAGTTTTGATGAACTTTGAAGTTCCATTGTTTTTGTTTTCGCTTATTTTATTCATTGTTACTGCACTGAACGATGTTTATACATATTTCTCTGAAGTAAACCTTATAATTATCAGGTTTATTATAGTATTAAAAAACAGAAAAAAAAAACTTTTTTTTTTGCTGTTTTGCAACTGCAATAACAGTAGACGGCAGCAAAACTGAGTGCAAAAAAAAAAATGCACTAATTGATACTTTTAACTATCGAAAGAGTCCTTCGATTTGACATATGTGAAGAAGATTTTTGATCTGCTATATTAAAATCGAAATTTTTTTCAGTGGAATGTTAGTAAGTTTGTGATCGATAAAACCAAATTTATCAATTTTAATGCTGCAATTTTTAAAGTTTTTTTTCAAAGTTTTTTTTTTTTACACTGTTCACTAAATTATATTTTGCATTAAACATAAAAAGCATATGATTTTGCGTTTTTTTTGCATTTGATCTAGTTTTTAGATGTTTAGTTGATTTGTTGTATATGTAATTTGTAAACAATTTTTCTGTTGTTCTATACTGTTCAGTTTAATGCAGATAGGTTATGGGTACAAAAATGTTATTTTTTTTTCGAACTAATCATGAAACCGATCAATTGATGAAACTTTTTGGTTTATTTTGAACGTTAACTAAGGTCGCAGTAGTTAGTCAGTGATTGTTTACCAGAGGATAAACGTTGACACCAATGTATAAATACTTCGAACTGTTTGGCGCTTGAAATTAGGTTTAGTTGTAGGATTGAAACTGAAATTTTCTGCTATGAATCATAGTTGGTTGGGTAAACTGAAGGAAAACAAAATCATTGATTTTGCTGATGCAACAGTTTTATAAGCGTAACTTCTTGTTGTTTTTTTTTTCATCGTCAAAAAAGGTGTTGTTTTTCATTAATTATCTGAATCTTGATCTGTATTTTCACATAATTCTCTTAGCTTTCTTTCTTTTCTTTTTTTTTTT